ATTTAGCGCAGTTGATAATCATTTTAAGGCACAGTACAAACTGTGACTAACAATTCTTCCCTCTTAATTTTCGAACTCTGAGAGAAATTCATTAGTTTCCTTCTCATTTCTAATAGAAAGTTGGTGAGTATAATTAACTAAAGCTCTAAACTCAAAAGCTTTGAGTTGTCGTATAGTTGAAAAATTAATAATTCGAGTCCGTTGGATTTGTTTTACTCCTAGAAACTCAAATAAATAATAAATTCTGGTAACTCCTAATCGATAGTAAATAGTTATCATATTTCGCAATATCATTCTTTCAGAAGGATTAGTTGATTCAGTTTCCAAGAATTGTTTTAGGTAATAAGCATTTACAAGAATGAGTACACGATTCTTTATCCTACATGCTCTTAGTAATACTCGATATGTACTTTGAACTTTTTGCTATAAAGTCATATCATCATTAAAAAGTGCTTTTAAAGGAATTTTAAGAGAAGAATCTCATTTTAAATCTGCACATAAAGGTTGTAGTTGGCGAGAATTAATAATTTCAGACATTGTAAAAGATTTACTTTACATTTTCCATGTATCGAAGGGATGTATATATATAAAAAAATAATAAAATAACTAATTTAATTTTCATGATAAGCTTTTAATAGCTGTACATTTACTAGTGCACGTAAAACTCGTCCTTTCATCTCGTATAACTTATATGATCCATTTATCAAAATCTCATGTATATAGTAAAGTCTCTTCCATTTTGGATCTAATTTTCCAGATCTCCTTGTTTCATTTGCTGCATTGTAATATAAGACTTTATCTCCTATTTCAAATTGAGATCTCATTTTGATTTTCTTATTATGCTGATTTTTCTGTTTTTGTTGGCTACTTGTAATCTGCAATTTAGCCTTAGATCTTATAACTGGTAGATCGTCTATCAATTCCTTAATTCTGGTATTTATATTACCATGTGGTTGCTCATTTAAAGAATCATCAGTAGATAACTTTGCTGATCTTCCATATAATAAATAAAAAGGTATTATTTTTGTAGTTGAGTGTCGACTTGTATGATAAGCAAATAATACTAGTGCAATATAAAGATCCCATTCCTTATTATGTGTTATCAATTTTATCAAAGATTCACTTAAAGTTCTATTAAATCGTTCCACAAGGCCATTTGTTTGTGGATGATAAGGAGTTGAAAAATTATGTTTAATCTGAAATTTTTCCATCAATCTTACAATCAATTGATTATTAAAATGGATTCCTCTATCAGATAAGATCTTTTGTGAACATCCATGTTGACATATGATATCTTTATATTAGCAACTTGTTTCGCAGTAGCTTCTGATAAGGTTCTAGCTTCAGGCCATTTAGTCATATAATCCATTGCTGTTACGATATATCTGTTTTTCCTTTCTGTAATAGGTAAAGGTCCTACAATATCGATTCCTATTCTATAAAATGGGTTTCCTGCATCTATTAGGTATAAAGGTTCAGTTCATTTGTATTTCCCTCTCCTTTGAAAAGAATCACATTTTTATACATATTCTCGTATACTTTCATACATTTGAGGCTAATAATACTGTAGTCTGATCTTGTCAAATACACTATCTGTTAATAAATGTCCTCCTAAAGGATCATTATATGCCATATATAATAAAGCATCTAATTTATTATTTCTTATTACTCTTAATAATTGTTCAGGAGTAATAGTTTTTACTTTATATAAAATATCAAATTTAATAATGTAATTCTTTGATTATCATTTAATTCTTTATTTTTCTATTGTTGCTAGATTTTTAGATAATGATTCTGTTTTTAAATAATTAAAAATATTATTATAATATATGTCATCCATTCTGTTGTAGAGCTGTCTATCACACTGTAAATATTTACGCTTTCACTCTAGTTATTATTCTAATAAAATCAATTTTTAATACAATGAAACTTCGTCAAGAAGTTCTTTAAGTAAATTTGCTAGTAAAATATCATTATTTTGTTATTGTACCGCTAATGATTCTTCTCAAAACACATCATTACAAAAATAATTAGGGTTCATGTCAGGTTGTATTTGTCCTAATCCATACCCTATAATACAATCATGAATAACTGTTCCATAAGGTAGATTTTTTTTACAAGCTTTGCAATAGGTATGAACATGATGATTCTCAGTATCGCAATTAAGAGTACATTGAGATCCCCCTTTCATAATAGGTTGTCTAGTAATAACTTGTTTGACTTTAATAAATTCGTGATAGATATTTTCTAATTCATCTTTAGGTAATTAATATCCAACAGCAGTAATTAATGGTTCATTTGCAAACTGTTAATACAATTGTTTCTCAAACCATAATTCTTCAGGATCAGGTGTTAAACTTTTTTTTATTGAGGAATGCCATTCAATTTCAGGTTCTTCATCATAGATAGACACCATAAAAATCTCACGAACATCTTCTTTTTCAAATTGTTCTTCATTAATTCTTGATAGGACATCAGCATTCGCATTATGCTTTTGATTTATGCTGAATAGTGTAATTGTAGGGCTGTATTTCCATCATCCATCTAGCACGTCGTCCTTTTGGTATTTTAAATGTTTGTAACCATTTTAGTGCTGAATGATCTGTAATTAATTCAAATCTAGATGTACATAAATAATGATGAAAATGTTGAATAGCCTATACTATCACTAAACATTCTTGATCTGTAACTAAATAATTCTTTTCTGCTGAAGTTAAACTTCTACTAGCATATGCGATAGGATGTTCTCTTCCCTCTTTATCTTTTTGTGCTAATACAGCTCCTAAACCTATTCCTGATGCATCAGTATATAAATAGAAAGTTTCATCAAAATTTGGATATTGTAAAATTGGTGCATTAATCAAACAATTTTTTAAATGATCGAATGCATTTTGTTGCTTTTCAGTCTATTCAAATATTTGGTCCTTCTTTAGCAAGGTATTTATAGGCTTTGCAATTTAGGAGAAATCTTTAATAAACTTTCTATAATAGAAGAATAATCCTAAAGCTGATCGAACTTGAGATACATCTTTTGGTATTGGTAGGTCTTTTACTTTTTCAATTTTTGCTGGATCCGGTTGAATACTATCTCTTCCAACTATATGTTCTAGAAATGTTAAATTAGGCATACAAAAACTACATTTCTTCAGTTTAATCCTCAAGTTAGCTTCTCTCAATGCTTGAAAGACTTGTTTAATATGGTCAATATGTTGTTCAAAAGACTTTAAATAAATTATAATATCGTTTAAATACACTGAGACAAATTTAGCTGCATATAGTTGTAGAACATAATTCATTAATCTTTGGAAAGTTCCTGGAGTATTACATAACCCAAAAAGCATTACGTTAAACTCATATAATCCAAAGTTAGTGATAAAGGCAGTCTTTTCTTTGTTCTTTTCTTCCATTTCAACCTGCCAGTAACCACTAGCTAAGTCTAATGTAGTAAACTAATTTGCTATTCTAAATGATTCTAACATATCATCAATCCTAGGTAAAGGGTAAGCATCCTTTTTCGTGATTGCATTCAGTTTCCTATAATCAACGCATATTCTTGTCTCTAGTTTTCTTTGCTACAATTACTACTGGTGAGGCCTATGGACTTTTTGATTTTCTAACAATACCTTTATTTTTCATATCTTCAATTTCTTGGCACAGAAATTGTTGGTTATCTGAACTACATCTATATGCCGTTTGTGCAATTGGTATATCTTTTTCTAGAATTATAGAATGTTTGATAATAGCAGTTCGTCCTGTATCTGTTTGACTTTCAGCATATAAATCACTATTTTCTTCAAGGGTTTGTTGAAATGTATTTTGTTGATGGGCATTCAATGGTCTAACTTGTAATTTAGGTTTTTCTTGTTCTTTCTTTAGAAAATCAGCTAGATACACACTTGGGTATTTATTTTTATGTATCCTTATATGAATTTCTTCCAAGATTCTGTCTGCATATTTAGTATGAGTGGGAGTTGTTTTGCCTTATTCTGCCATATCTGCATATTCTTCAAAATAAAATGGTCACCATTTTCCTTGCTTTTCTGGTTCAGTTTGTTCAAAGGCCCAATTTGATGTGATTTTAGTAATATATACATCACAATCATAAAAGTCATTATTAAAAAGGTATTCTACGTCTTCAGATTTGATTAGAATGCCTGTTTCCTCATGTGTTTTCCTTAATACTGCTTGAAGTGATGTTTCATTAGATTCCACTTTTCCACCTAGCACTTGCCACATTTTATACATTTCTTTTTGTGGATTAATTCTTTGTAACATAATAATATCCTAGTAGTCATACATAATATTCATTACATACTTGGGTTGAGCATTATTTTCAACTTCGCTTAAAAATACATCATATTCATCTAAGTCTTCTTCCTCATATTCATCTAAGACTTGATCTAAGTTTTCCCTTTCGTCTACCATTCCTTCTTCAAAAAGGATGTTAAAAGTAGCTCATTTAGTGACATATGAAATAGAAGCAGTTTGTGTACTAAAGTCAAGATTCATTTTGGTTTTTTACACCAATTTACTCCTAATAATGTATCCTGTGGTGATTCAATTACTTGAAGTTCTATTGGGACTGATACTTGTTGTATAATTATTCTTGCTTCAGTAATTTATTCCAATGCTCTTACAAGACTTCTATTAGCTGTGATCACAATTAATTTAGAAGGTTTATCAATATTAAGTCCCAACTTTTTAGCTAACTTATCGGTAATAATACTAATAGCTGCTCCTGTATCAATTATAGCTTCAATGGGATTATTCTTAATTCTAATATATGCTTTGCAGGAAGTTGTTTTCTTTCCTGATTCATCATCTATGAATTCTAAAGAATTAACACTAGGTGTTGATATAAGATGATGTCTTAAGGCATTTGCTAAATTCATCCTTTTGGCTGGTATTTGTAACCATTGTCCTAGGGTTGCAGACGACTGTTTTGATAAGATATCATCAGCTATATTATATAGTGCAAGATTATCAATTCTGGAAGGATTTCATGCTCTTTTAACTGATTTTTGTTTAGGAGTGGATTCTACTTCCATTTCAATTGGATTAATGACACAAGTTCTAAGATTCATTTCTTTATTTGACTCAGAAGTTCTAGTCATTTCTCTTTGTCGTATTCTTATATTCTTTTTGTCAGTAGTATATGATCGAGACCTTTCTCCTGCATATACTTTGGATGTTTCCTCTTCCTCTTCATCATCAGTAAAAACTTCAATTAAATTAACATTTCTTGGCTTCGTCTTGGAAGATCTTTCAGATAAGCATTCCCTAGAATAATGACCTTTTCCTTTATATCGCCAACAAATTACTTGGCTTTTGTCAAAAGGTTTTCTGTCATTATTATTCCTTGTAACATTTGTACTTTTAGGT